TCTCAGTATTCTTCTTTGTTCCATTTTTTTCTGTGTTTCCAGACTAATTTTTTCTTCCTTCACGCTTTTTGGGCAGCATTTCTTTTGAGCTTCTGTTATTGCTTCTACTATTATGTCATTTAGAATGTTAATATCATTTGTTGATGATTTTTCTTGAAAAAAAAAAAAAAAAAAAAAAAAAAAAAAATGGCTGTAGTAATACTATGTACAACTTTTATAGTTTTTGTTGCATTGACATTCTGTTATCTTCATCCTTCAAAAGTATCTTGTCAATCAGTTCCACGTTGTTCTCCGAGCGCAGAGGTTGCCTCTCGCCCGGCTCTGGAACCCATTTGAGCCATGTGTTACCTTTGGTCAAATTTAATTTAATATAGAACATCACAGTTATTTTATAACACAATGTAAATAATTTCATAACTAAATGTAATTTAAAGGGTTTTTTACCCTAATATTTTGGTGGCTCAGGCATTATGACCTAGTAAGTATAACCATCTTTTGCTTTTCAACCTTAGTCAAAATTTCAAAATCTCGTTTGTTTTAACTAAATGGTTTATACTTATTTTAGGCATTTTCGATTTTAATAACCTGATGATGGACTGTTTAGTCCGAAAACGTTTGTTCTATTGATGTGGCCCTTTTAAGGGTTTTTTAAATAAATATACCCACTTACAAAGATTAACCTCTTTTTGTTATACGTGGTATACAGCCAGCTACAGGAATTTTTCCTTGTGGATTTTGTTAATTTTTCTTGAAGGAATTTACCGATATGATCTTCAAAATTTTGTTCGTTGTTTGGATGTGTCCATCTGTTTATTTGCTTCTTTTTTATCATATTGTGTCGTTCATAGTTGGTATTTAACACATTTAACATTTAACACGTTACGTACAGAACTTTAACTCTTAATTTAACGTTCATCTTCTTCGATACGTTAGTTCTTTACGTATAGGGAGATACGTTACGTTAGGTAGTTACAAAAACTCCCTAATATAAACGTATGTTCACTAGTTGTAAGTTTTAGTTATTCAAATATTTTCAAAATAAAATCATTTAATAAAAAATAAATAAACAATTTAAACATAATTAGGTAGAAGTACCTTGGATGGCCGGTTAAGGGGTTCTATAATTTTCAGGTAGCGGGTAGGAACTCTTTAAATTCTTGAAGATAGTCCTATCTTCAAGACTAGTACCTGTTTAGGGTCCCTTATCCATTGTTGTGGAAGAAGTCCACAACATCTTACCTATCCTTGATGGTAGGTTTCCGTTGGATAGCTATAACAATGGACCTACATCACACCTATTCATAAGTTTCATTTCCTCCCTATATACCCAGCTCTCATACTCAGTATAAGTAACGAAAAAACCAACATACTAATTCCAAACAGTGATGTTAGTGTAATCACAGAAGAACAAAAAGATAAAGAGAAAGAAGATAGAATGGTATAAAACCATTAAAGTGGAGCAAGGTACGATAATTTACAGGAGCAAAAGCTATCTAAATATTAAAATCCATTTTAAAGATATTTCTGCCTAAGATAAAATCTTCAGAAGCCGAGAAACAGCTATACTCACGACAAAATACAAGGAAGGGTATCATGTAAAGTGCACCAAAAGAAAAATGATTGAAGTAACGCTATAAGAAGCTTGTATCTAAGAAATTAATTACGCTATGGAGAAATTAAATAGAAAAGGAAAAACTGACAAGAACGAAATTCGAATATTTGGGCCTCTAATAAGGACACAAAAATAAAATAAAAGGTAAAATCGAAGGAAGGTCTAAGAAAAAAGTCCTAGATGCGCGAAATTTTAAGCTTTAACACAAATGAGGCTTTTTAGATCAAAGGTAAATAAGATTAAGATAACGTTAATGATTTTAAATGTGCTGTAGAATATATATAAAAAGTCATTTATTTTTCTAATTGTTACAATTTTACCGTACTATATAAAGCCCACAGATTCAAATCCTCAAATGACAAAGTCTCACGCCAAGGGGTTATCATTTTCGAGATTGTAGACTCTCGATAATTAATGCGTATGAAGAATTTATAAATCAATACGATTATTTTCAAAAATATAACATTAGTAAACTCAAGATTTTAAGAAAAAAGCGGAAAAGTGCTTATTACAACTTGTGATAAGATTAGGCAATATCGTTTATAAACAAAAGATTTTTGTACAAGTTCCTTGTACACGAGCGAAAAGGTCAAGGGTGTGAAGGAAGTTTAAGTACACAGTTCAATAATTTATTATCGTTATGCTACACACAAAAAATTCTTCTTCTTCTTTTGTTCATTGGCGGGTTGTTGAATCTATCGGAGATTGTCATTCCACCTAACATTTGGTGATTTGTCCCTTGCTATTATTCAAGACAAACGTCTAATAATTTCTCAAAAATCGACACTATTAGACTTGTGGAAAAGATGCACACAGGAAATTCATGGTTAAAGTTGATTGACTTCATTTATATCTCGTTAAATGACACAATTGTCCAATTTCAACAAACGATGATAGAGACTAATAATTTCGTAGGGATAGAGGAATTTTTAAATAGAAATAATATCACAAATGACGGTATTATATTTTGATTTGATACAGAGCAGCAACAAGCCGCATATACGTATTTCGATCTCTTTATAAATACGTATATGCGGCTTGTTGCTGCTCTATATCAAATCAAAATATAATACCGTCATTTGTTTTGTTTATTTACTTCATTTGGAGTACCAGAAATCGAATTAACTACTAATATAGGCCATGATGAACGGCATTTGAAGTGCAATTTTTAGACTCCCTTGCCGATGCATTCATCAAGCTGTTTGGTTCGCAAGTCTTAGGGGGCACTGCGGCTTATATTTGAATTCGATTTCGCCAGGTAGAAATCGTATGATTTCTCTTTTTGTTAAAAATAATATCATATTCTGAACTTGTTACTAAATTAAAAAAGACTAAAGATTAACTATAGTAAAAAAGAAAATAAAAACAGTAAAAAAGCTGGAAGAATTTAATAATGAAATAAACGAAAAATATATCAATAATAACGATAATTCCGGGTGTACCTACTGTGAATTGCATGTCACCAAATTTAGACGTTGACATTTTTGTATCACCTAATTTAGACGTTGACATTTTTGTACAGAGTTGCCCTACTATCATGTTAGTAGGGAATGGGCGGAGCTTTTAAAAACCTATTCAAACCTTTCTAATTTGTGTGTATTTGTGTATACGAAAACCTGTTTTTTATCTGCTAAACTTATTCTCTAATTTATTAGCACTTGTAACATTTTAGTTGTAAGTTTTACCGTACTTAGTATTTAACAAGTTTATACCTCTATAGTTTTCTGGCTGTTTTTTATGTTCTCTTTTGGATAGTAGAATTAATTCGCTCGTTCTCCATTCTTCCGGAAATATTTAATTAAAAATCTTTTTTTTTTTCATAAGAAAACATATTTTGTATAACTATGGCAACACTGGTTAGAGTTACCCTATTTGAGCTGTATTTATCTCTTTGAATTTATTTGTACCCAGTACTTTAAAACTAATTGACATATCCTTTTCATACTTAGCAGAAAGTGTAAGTACTGTTGGGAATTTATCTGTATTGATCAGACAGCAATTGACGGATTTGTAGTTATCTGTTTTATTTGCGTAAAAACAACTCAAATTCTGTTCTCTTGCTGTCTGCTAAATTCTTAAATTATTTAAATTTTTCCCTGGGTGACAGTTTGCTTGACGTTTTTTATATTATATTTGACATAATTTTCGGAACAGTAGCAACGGGAAATTTTATGTAACATGATAAAACTAAAATTGAACTAAATACATTTTATACAAATAAATATTCGTAACAAGTACTGTAAACCCTAATATTTTATGTTTAATAAACTTTTTTGACTACTACCAGAGGCGTACGACTGGGAAAATAAAAAGGTTGACCCTTCCCAAATTCTACGCCATTGTCGGAATTACTACTTTCGCGGAATTTTTGATTTTATTTGATAATTGGGCCGCATCACTTCATTTGACTTCAAATATCTCGAAAAATACTGACTTAACCCTTACAAATAAAGAGTATAGTATTTACATAGAAAGTATTGGGCAGAAATTGTACTAAATTAGCAATTCCACCAGTGGCGTAAAATTTGGGAGGGGCCAAGCATTCACTTTCCTCTGTCATATGCCTCTAATAGTAGCCAGAAATGTTTATTTAGCATAATTTAAGACGGTGTACAGTAACTACACTTTCTGGCAAGTATGATAAGGATATGTCAAATAGTTTTAAAGTAGTGGGTACAAATAGTTTTTAAATTTTTAAATAAAACACCCCAAGCCACATTTTATTTAAATGGTTTGGGTTAAACCTTAATATTTTGTTAATGAAACACCCTGTATAATGGCAGTGGCTTTTAAAGATAAGACATATTTTAAATGGATGTTCCATAAAAAATAAGGTTTTCCAGACAATAAAAATCATTGTACCACATCAGTAAGTGAAGCAGAATTCATTTATATAAATAACATCTGTAGACATTGTACCCCTTTACTACACTAGTATCAATAATTTATATTATTAAATCGAAATGTAAAAGCATTGGTTGATTTTATCAACTATCATAAATATATGTTTACATTATTACAAACATTAACTTGATTTATCTTATCTTAAAGATAAGATTTTGTCTTTGATCTTACTGTCACAAATTCTATAAACAATTAATTTTATGCAATGATTTGTTAATTTTCCTGATAAATATCAAGTACATCAGCTGGCTTTACATAACTGTTATTTGATTATATTTTTACTAATACATTTTATATAATGTTTGTAAAAAATCTATTTTACATATAGAAAAATGTAAAATTGTAACTCAATGAGGTATTTTATGTCCTAGAAAAAATGTAAACAAGTGGTTGGTTATTTCAGACAGCTAATAATACATTTAAAAAAGATGGTTGTTTTCAGATCATTTAGGTTTCTAAATATATATTTTTAACAATTTTTTTGTCAATATATACACCAAATATTATACAAGAAATAGAATATTTTGATAAAAAACTTACCTGAAGCCTCTTTAAGCACCATCACACACTTCACATGACCACATTTTTCTGCCAAGTCAATACCAGTCATCCCTTTTGAATCCCTTATGGATAGATCTGCATTATGTTGCAACAAACTCAAAATGTTCTTCACATGCCCATGTTCAGCTGCTAAATGTAATGGTGTCTGAAACAAGACATTAATACTAAATTCCTCACGCTGTGATAATATGTTTCATACAACAACATCATCTTTAGTTCGACAATCCTTTATGGAATCTGGCCTGATCTAACATTTGTAAAAATTCTGTTAGGTTTCTAGTGATAAATATAATTAAATAACCATAAATGTAGCTATTTATTGGCTGAGAGATGGCATATATCTATTACCAGAAATTTCTTATAATTGAAAGAAACAATTTGATTCGTATACATACCTTTTTTTCTCCTCGTAGCCCACATTGAATGTTTGGGTCAGCACCAGAATTTAATAGAAACTGAAGACATTTTGAGTTATCAGTAATAGCAGCTGCATGCAGTGGCGTTCTACCCCAACTGTCTTGAGAATTGATGAAATTTTGTTGACCTCCAGCCAGTAAGTCTTCTAGTAATTCTGTGTTATCCCACAGAGCAGCCTGTACAAGAAAGGAAGAAAGTTAGATACATTTGTTGCGTGCAGGAAGTTTAGTAAGAATATCTCAAGCGGAAATATTAAAATATCTATTGCAAAAGTACCTGGTGTAAAAGACGTCCAGGGAAGTCTTCATCTTCAGGTGAAGAATCCAACATTTTTGGTTTCACAAAGGCAGGAACTGTAGACTGAGTATTAATATTGATAGATGTGTGGGTAGAACCAATTACATTGAGTAATTTCATTCATCGTTTCTTTCATTAATTAATTTCAACTCTATGCATAATTAAGTAAACAATTACTCAAAGGTGTAGTAAGAAGAATAGTAAGTGCACTGACCATGACATAAACGTCAAAATTGATGTTTATGTATTTTTATGACGTTATGACTGTTGAAAATCTTCTTTTTTTTTAATCCTTCATATTTGGATAATTCCCTTTCATAACATAATTTTAAGAAAAACCCTATTTTATGTTAAAAATACCCGTTCTTTTAATTTTGTCAATTAGGTATCTGATTAGTTTCTTGTTCGGTTTCTCCTTTACTTCTATCAGAAGAAGAGTGACGTCAATTGATTGTCATTGCAGTTCCCTTCTAAAGATAACCTCAAAGTTTGAGGAACGAACTTCCCAAATTTCCAAAAATGGCATTAATTAGTATAAGAAATTTTCTAAAGTGTGGACAGACCATTAGCGATTCTCTTGTTTTCAATTCCAGGTAATATATTCAGTATTTTATGTAGAGTTTACTTGTAATAATTGCGCAATGTATATTTGCAGAAGCATAGCTGTTTCTTCACGTCGAAAAACAACCCCTTCTGAAGCTAAGAATGAATCACAAACGTCTAGCGAGACAGAACCGAAATCTCAAGGTAGCGCAGATATTGAAAATTTGAATAAACAACTTACAGAACTAACGAGTCAGAAAGATGAGTTAATGGTAAGTCTCTCGTGGATCATAAATGCGTCAACTATTTAAATTATGTCTAATGAATTTTTTGTTGTTTCTAGGATAAATACAAAAGGGCATTAGCTGAAACTGAAAACTTAAGAACACGATTGACCAAACAAATAGCTGAAGCCAAAATTTATGGAATCCAAAGCTTTTGTAAAGATCTATTAGATGTTGCCGATGTTTTGAGCAAAGCTACAGAGACTGTACCTAAAGAAGAAGTTAGCAGCAATAATCCTCATCTTAAAAGTTTATATGAAGGTCTTAAGATGACAGAAGCTCAGCTGTTGAGTGTTTTTAAGAGGCATGGACTTGAAAAAGTGAATCCTATTGATGAAAAGTTTAATCCCAATTTCCATGAAGCTCTGTTTCAACAGGTAGGTATTATTATTAAAAGAATAAGTTAATATTTTGAAATATTGATAAATAATATAATACTATCTCATATACATGTGTTTGAAATACAGTTTTTTCTTCAGAATTGTCAGATTTTTGGTGTATTTAAGATATCAAAAGTTTTTAGAGTCTAAAAGCAGGTTACAATCACAAGGAACTATATGAGAAAGAAATTTATTCTTATGTGTTCATATTTGACCAATAATTTATCCATTGTGGGAAGTTATTTATGTAGAGGGATTGGTATTCTAGTAGGCAGTCTATTTTCTGCAGTTAATATTGAACTGAGACAGTTTTGAATGAGTATATTTCTTTTTCAGGAGGTGCAGGGTAAGGATCCAAACACAGTCGTGATAGTGTCAAAAATAGGATACAAACTCCATGATCGAGTTCTGAGACCAGCGTTAGTGGGTGTATCAAAATAAATAATTGTGTTATTATTTTCCTAGATGATTTATTTATAAGTTTGTATTGGTCCATGGTGGTTTTGATTATTTCACAAGACAGTACCTACAATTTTAAGACCTAGTTACAGTGTATCATTTTGTAATAAAATTTTGAGTAAAGTTTTTTATTGTTAAGTTTCTTTTGGTGTTTATTTTGTTTCATTCTGCATTTGTTCATTATATTTTTTATGCTAAACGAGTCAAGATATTCAGGAATATAATTAAAGAAAATGTAGAACAATATAAGAAATTTTTAATGGTGAATAAGTACAACAAATTAAAAAAATGGGTACAGTAGGTGGTACTGTATTTTAATATAATTGAAAAAGTTTACATATTGTATAACAGACACCCCTTGTAACATAACTGGACTCTTCCATTTTTTTCTGTGACTACTATTTCGTAAAACGCCATATTTAATATGTGTTGATTTAGAAATCTTTTCCAACGTATAACTATGAAAGTTCAACTTCAAATGTTTTACTAATAACTCCTTTTGTCACACTTTAATACAATTTTGAACTGATAATTGTACAAATTATATATGTGAATTGACGTTATATGTGAAATTATTTTAAAATAACAAATAGTCTGACAAGAAGTCTATAGAATAAAAATTAAAGCCTGATTGTATATGTACGTTGTTATAATCGAAACCTCATAATGACTGTGTTCATTATAGAGGGAGTATTTTGTATTTTTGTTTTTCCTACTCTTAAATTCCAAACTGATATTATCATTATTGGTTTTTTTCTTAGGAATGTTAAAGATTGGTTTCATGTATTGGGTAGTATGTTTCTTCTACTATGTTCTGTCGTTTGGTATGATTTACTTATTTTTTAGAGTAGAGTAAATTTTATTTGCATAAATCTTTAAACATGATTGAGCAAATATCGTCACATTATTAATTACAAATTAAAAAAAAATATGTATATATATATATTGACATCACACATTTAAAATACATTAACATTACAAATTAAATATGCTGATTAAGGAGAAGGATAGGCCAGGCACTCCGCCACAGTATAGGGCTCAATGTCAACTAGGTGTTGAAAAACCTTTACTTTTAAAAGTTCTATAGTGTGTTTCCTGTTTAATGTCAGATGGTAGACTGTTATAAAATTTAACACACGCATACAAAGGACTTCTCTCTGTTATAGACAATCTGTGAAGTGGCAAATTCAAGTTATAAGCTTCTTGTACTATATTCATGATTGGGAAGCAGGTGATAAAACAAAGAAAAATTTTTAAAAAGGAACATAATACATTCAAATATATAGATGGCTGAGAAAGTGAGTATATTGAGTGACTTGAATCGGCCTTTACACGATTCTCCCGCCTTTAGTCCTAAGATCACCCGGACTGCCTTTTTTTGGGCTATAAAGACAGTTGAGCTATCTACTGCAGCACCCAGAAGATTACTCCATATCGCATAACAGAATAAAAGTTTGCATAATATACTGATAGTAAAATCCCCTGGTCCAGATAGCTCTTTAACACTCTTAATGAGTAGCAGGCTCTATTCAGTTTTTTTGTTGTATTTGTATTTGTTCCCCCCAATTCAGGTTCTGGTCAATATGGATACCAAGAAATTTAACTGATCTAGCAGTTTCCGTGTTTTCTGATAGAAAATTAATTGTATCTGGAAACTGTTCTCGTGACTGGCTGGTTCTAAAGTGGACAAAAACTGTCTTATCAGTATTAAGCAACAACCGATTTCCACTGAACCACTGTTCAGCCTTGCTTAGAATTTGCTCTGCCACTGTGAGGAGTGTTTCTAAAGTTTTTTTCCCAGAAAAGCACATTTGAGTCATCAGCGAAATTTACAAGGTTTGAGGAACAACTAACCACCGCATTTGGAAGGTCGTTTATGTAGACCAAAAAGAGAAAAGGCCCCAGAACACTCCCCTGTGGTATACCTAATTTTAAATTGATCGGTTCAGAGTAAACCTTACATCCCCTTTTCTCCAGGCATACCTTTTGCGACCTATCTGTGAGAAATGATTTTATCCATTTTAATGCTGGTCCCTGTATTCCATAAAGATGTAATTTTTGTAATAAAAGAACATGATCTAGGCTATCAAAAGCCTTAGATAGGTCCAAAAAAGCACCCAGTGTTTTCATCTTTGCCTCCAGTTTTTCTAAAATTTTTGATATAAAATCATAGGTAGCTGTCTCAACAGATCTCCCTGCGAGAAAAACCATGCTGTGAACTACTAAATAAGTTGTTTGTAGTAAAAAAGTTTTGTAGTCTGAAATGTATTGCTTTTTCAAATATTTTTGAGAATGACGGAAGAAGGCTTATTGGTCTATAGTTCTCCATCTTAGTAACATCACCTTTTTTATGAAGTGGCTTGACAATTGCCAGTTTTAAATTTTTAGGAAATTTACCTTGCCTGAAAGAAGCATTAACTATAAAAGAAAGAGGAAGAGAAATCTCTGATGAAACATATTTTATTAAGTTGGTTGATATTTCATCATAACCAGAGCTATGCTTGTTTTTTAAGTTATTTATTATATGACTTATTTCTTTCTCTGAAACTGGAGTTAAAAACATGCAATGATTAGTTTGTTCAATATTAATTTGAAAATTTTTTACATGTTTTATTTTCTTTACAGCTTCTGGCGCTGCATTTGCCATAAATTGATTTATTTCGTTAGAAAGCACTTGAGGGTCACCCTCCAAACAGAAATTACCTTGATTTTTGGAATTACCCTTAATCTCTTTTACCAATTGCCAAGCCATTTTAGTTTTATTTTCGCTATTTTCAATTCGTTTTTTATAACAATTTTTCCGAGATTGAGTGAGTAAAGAATTGTATTTGCGTTTTTCTGTCCCTATAAATATCTTTATAATCAACATTATTGGTAGACAGTGTAAACAAAACATCAAGCCTAGATTTACAATGTTTTATATCATCATTTTTAAAGTACTTTTGTGATTTTTTTTTATTTACTGTATTAATCTCTTTGAGTGGAAAACATTCTGTAAAAAATTTCTGAACTATACTCATAAAAGCATCCCACTGATTATCTACTTCTAATGTCTCAAAAACAGATACCCAGTCTACATTACCTAACATGAATTTAAATAAACTTTTATTCTCATTGCTAAATATTCGTTTTTTTATTATATTTGACTCAAATTTATTTAATTCAAATTTTACCTTTTGAGCAGTATATATTTACTTATGTCGCTAATATGGGTCATTGTAAAACTTGCGCGACAAAATAATCAGCAATTGATTTCTGTTGTATATCATAAGAACCATACGGATCAGAAAACAAAGGTATAAATAATTTATTACACAAATATTTACAACCAAAACAACACATTGCAATTAAAAAAGTATATATAATACAGTTTTTTGACATCTTTATACAACATATCAATTTAATTATTAGTTAAACGAATAAACAAAACACGCAATATGTCCCATTGACTTGAAACAATATGAAAAACGTGAAGTTTGATTGAAAATCGATTAAACACTAAAATTAAACGTAATTGGACGCATTTGGTCTTCATAGCAGTGTACTCATAAGATGAACCATTTTTTTGATCTTATTCGAAGATGCTTAAATACTAACTAAAAAGTTTATGTGTGCTTCATAGGCTGCCAGAAAGCCTTTGGTACCTTCAAACTTAGGATAAATTGTTGCAAATTCTGAGAAATAAAAAGAAAAAATAGAAGGGGATATCTCTTTCCGAGTCTGTCTTCAGTTATGCCATTAGTATTTTTCTGTTCAAAACTAGAAAGGTGGAATACTTGGGGCACATTGTGAGAGGTGAAAAGTACGAACTTTTAAGAAACATCATGCAGGGCAAAAGAAGTGTGGGAAGAAGAAAAATATCGTGGCTTCGTAATCTACGTGAATGGTTCGGGTGTAGTTCGATTGAACTTTTTAGACGCGCTGCTAACAAAGTCGCAGTGGCCATGATGATTTCCAATCTCCGCTAGGAGTGGCACGAGAAGAAGCAGAAGTTCAAAACTGTCATACATAATTTTTTAACCTGTCAAAGCAGATCGGCACCTATTATAATTTTCGTTAACGGCTGCCTCAAAAGCTGAAAGGACATCTGATAATATAATCTCCAAAGTGATGTTCAAGATTCAAGCGGGTTAGAGATTTTTTAAATCAGGAAATTCCGCAGTAAAAATAGATAAATTAATTAAAATAAATTCGATTAATATTGGACCTTACACAGAACTCGTTCTCTGTGGTGAACTATCATAAACAGACTAAAATTTACAAATCTGGAACAAATTGGAACATTTTAAGGCTTTAAAATATCAAAATTTACATTAGTAATGAGATGATTTCTTGTTCCATGTCTCCTTTGAAAACTTTTTATTTTTCCAAAATAGCCTGTATTTCTAGAAAACTCTTTCCTTTCGTCTCTGGCAAAAAAATGAACATAACAACAAACCCTACTAAGCAACATACACTGAACGACCAAACGCAGTAAAATATTCCGAAATGTTCACTAATCAACGGAAAGAGAAACACCTGGGAAGAGCCTAATAAGTAACAAATAGTAAAAACTAGAGCTGAACCTACTGCTTTAACATCTGTAGGTAACATCTCGTTCATTACTGTTATTGATAAGGTTCCTATTCCTAAAGCGTACATGAAATTGAACACCAGGACTGACGAAATAGGTAGCCAAGTAATGTCGTCTATCGTAACTGAAGTATGCTGTTTTAAAAAGAAAAATAAACCTATGCAAAACAAGGAAATGCAACTACCAAATGCAGAAGTTAGCAGCAGAGGTCTCCGTCCTAACTTCTCCACTAAACAAGAACTTATAAAGAAGCTGCCAAACTTAACAAGACCTACTAAAATAGCTACTTTATTGCCCGAAAAAGAAGTACTGACTTCATTAAAAACAGGAGCTAAAAACTTCAAAATGCTTATAACTCCTGACAACTGCTGTGTGAGATTCACACATAAAGATATCAACAGGGCTTTTCTGACACTCCTATTTGTAAACAACTCCATTATTCCTCTTTCTTTGAAGTTTTCTCTAGCTTTAAGAGTCTGATCTATCTTAAAATACTCATCTTCGATTTCTACAGAGTTTTTGTTCTTTCTTAATTTTATTAATGAACACAAGGCGGCTGGTATCTGTTTCTTCGAAACTAAATACACCGGAGATTCTGGTAAATACATAAACACAAGGAACAAATGAACCAGAAGTGGTAACGCTAAAAGTAAAGTAAACATTCTAACGGAAGTTATCGGGCCTAGGAGGTAGCCGTAGAGATTTCCCAAAGGCATCAAAACTCCAATGAGACTTAGTATTCTGCCTCTGTTGTGGTCTTCGGAGATTTCGCTCAAATATAAAGGTAGCGCCACGTACACACCAGCAACACATATAAAAAGAAAAGACAAGCCTGCTGAGTACATATATACGTGAGTGCCGAAAGCGACTAACAGTAGCGATGCCAACATTCCGAAGGATATCAATAACATGGTTGTTTTCCGACCAAACGCATTGGGCATCTTGGCGAACACAAAATTACCCAGCAGTGCTACAAACGATGGCAAGCCTGTTATCAGTGATATTTGCAAGGTGTTGATGGGTTCGCCAAGGGGGTTTTCCTCTGCATCTTCGGACTTCAGCTTCGGTATCACAGGAGAAGACCATACTATACAGGAACAGCCACTGAAGACCAAGAGACTAGCTGGTGAAAGAAAACTGAGCATTAGAAAGCTTATAATCATTTAAAAATTATAAATTCCGACGATATAAATTATGTTACTGGACTTAGGCAAAATGCAAATAAGTAATTTTTTTTCTTATTCTTTTGACCGTTCAAGTGTATAGACGTATTCAGAGCTTTGCTATCTAATCAGTGGTAATTAAGTAGTAATTAAGATATTAATATCATTAGTCGTGAGTGATATCAATGGCCATGTTTCTTATTTTCTTATAGTTTTCTTAGTTTCTTATTCACACTGAAACGGACGCACTACTAGTCTAACAAAATAATGCGATGTTCGCAGAGAATACAAACGTTCACAAAATGAGAAGTCGCTTTATAATGCATGGTGTCAGTCAGAAGAAAATGTTAAGAGACTTAATATGGATAATCAACGGTTGAGTCAAATAATTATTGGAATTTTGTACTTGGCAACACTGGCTCACAATGTCTTAAGTGATTCCGGTTGTCATATGTCAATTGTAAAATATATATTTTCTAGAATGTAGCACATGTTTAGTTTTTAGTACTTTTGTAAAATAAAGTAATCAATTAATTCACTGCTATCTCTGTATTACCTCACTGGGAAACAACAAATTCTAATAGGTTATGGGCCCAGACAGTCACAAAAATAAAAAAGCAAAAAAGAAAGTGTGAAATATAAAATGGCTAATGCAATAGTCAATGTTCCTCAGCTGACAAATGCTACAAATTTTAACAAATTGGAAATTCAGAGTAACCATACTACTGGAAGAAAGACAATTATTAGATGTATTGGAGAAAACTGAGCAAGACTACAGTGAACCAAAAGAGAAAGGAGAGTTTAAACTAAAAGATTCCAAAGGTAAAAGCATCATAGTACAATGTTTAACAGACAAACACTTGGATTTAGTTAAAGATGCAAAAACCACAAAAGAAATGGTCAAAGCCCTAGAGAACATATTCGAGAGAAAAAGTGTGTTTACAAAATTAACATTGAAACGTAAATTGTTAACATTGAAGCTGAAAATAAATGAAAAATTAGAAGATCATTTTCTGTTGTTTGACACCCTTATAAGAGATTTAGAAAATGCTGGTTCAAAATTAGAAGAAGAAGACAAAGTATGCCATTTATTACTATCATTAAATGACGAGTATGAATCAGTCATCACAGCTATAGAAACAATGAATACAACTATTAAAATGGACTTGGCCGATATGAAAAAGAGATTAGCACAGCTGAAAAAAGCAGAACAACATACAGGGTTTGGGCTTTACCGCAAGTTAACCCACAAAAGACATTAACAGCAGATAAACTTGAATACTTTTCACCAATGAAGAAGATTTAGCGTATGAAATGAGCTGGATAAGAAACGAAAACAGGAAAACTAACAAAAAACATAAAATGGATGCCTCATTATTTCCTCCCTTTCCGCAAAAATCAAGTGCAGAAATACAAATTAAAAAACAGAATAAAAATGAATTATAAATACCATATTGACATTGTAATAAACATCTTTATTTATACGTCCATGGATGGAACATAATAAAAATGACGTAAATTAAATAAACATGCCGTCTAGCGAATAATAGCTAAACTATGACACTCCATAATGTAGATTCTAAGAGCGACTACGGCTCATGACAACATAGACGCATTTTTCGTTCGATAGATGTCGCTACAAGTAAAATAATTTGAATTAAAAGTTAAAATAGGGCCATCTAGCGGATAATTAGGAACTAATGAGATAGAACCGACATAGAGATAGTACTGAGTCTTACCTGCCTTATACAATGTTTAAATATATTATATCTGCATATCGTCAGATTTTTTTTACACTAGATTGGCAAGGATTTCGGTTGTTCGCGACCGAGAAGGCATTGCATTCTGTGATTGTCCTTCTCTGCGGGATTTTGGTATCCGAATCTCATATTCAGTAATATCTTTTCTACGATTTGTCGTAGTGGTTTTTTTAATGCAGTGATTTTCCGTTGCCTTTTTCGAGACCGATTTATCAATCTCAAGACAAAAAGGTGTCAGTTAACTTATCAATTCATTCGCCTGGAGCTCTTAGCCAGAAAGTGGGCGATTGCTTATACCAGCAATCACTCGGTGAACTTTTCACCATATCTAGCAAACATTTTGACATAAACGTAGAAAAATATTCCATGTCCAAAATCTCCAAGTCTACGGGACTGTCTTATCTAGTATCTTTAACGGGATTAATCATAGTTTCAGCTTAAAATGCTTTTTATTTTGACTTTTTGTTTTCCATTTCGAAAATCGTTTAAAAAAAAATTAAAATAAGCTTCTTCTTCACGTACCATATCAGAATTATCCGACTCAGAATTGGCGATCACCATTGCGAAGGCTTCAGTTTTGGTAAAATTCGGCAATATTATTTCTGTCATCTTCAAACAACTCTGATATATACATTGCTCATTTACAATAATTTTGTTATTATTGTCAACGAGTACAGAGGGAACTCGTTTTTTAAATATGTTACTCATTTCTTTTAGTTTTTTTGTGCACATTAAATAAGTCATGTTTAGATATTACATCCTCCATTTCGTCGCACCTTTCTCTCATCCATTTTTCTTTGACTAATTTGATCTCCTTTTTTATTCTTCTCTGCAGGTGTCTATATTCTGTTTCATTAGATGTTATCAGTCGACGTTGTTCCAATAATTTCAATATGTCGTCTGTCTTCCATTTATTTTCCTTGATTAAGTTTTTTCTTATTAAATTAAACGAATTTGTTAAAATAGTTGAAATTGAGGTTAATCCCTATAAAAATGGTAAATTAATATTAAAATGACACAATAAAATAGATTCAGAACAAAGTCTGTCTATTTGCAAAATTTATCCGAACTTATTTTTTTCCACGTTCCAAATAAAAAATTAAAAATAGATATTTAACTAAAAATATTCACATTAAAAACAAATTAAGAATAAAGTAATAATACTAATCGCATTAAAATATACTTCAAATATTTTTTAATACCGTTTGAACTATGGACTTCTTTCAAAATTGTTTAAACATAGTTTCGAATTGAATGAAATTACTGATTAATGATATCACTTCTTTGAATGTCACAAGTCCCCGATAAAAAAAAGCAAAACAAAACTTTGGCAACCTAATTCGTTCACGTACCTGTAACAGCACAAAAATATAGATATCCACCGTCTTTTTTGGATAGCACTATCTTTCCGAGGTGTTCGAATGTGGGAATCAGTCGATTTTTCCGGATTTCCTTCTCTGGTTGTTCCATAGTAGTATTCGTGTTAAATAAACATCTTTTATCTCTAATTATTATAAGTATTTAAGCTAAAGTGTTGTAAGCAGTTCGGTTTCAACAGAACACTGACCCGTGCGGTGTTGTCGAGTCTAGAAATTTGTCGAGAACATCAGAAAATTTAAAAAATGGAAATAATGACTCCAACACCTTTTTGATATTTATATAACCACCATTATAATTGACCACCAAAGTAACAACCCCGTTATTACAATCAACAAATGTTGATTGTGTGATTGGTATTATAAAAAAAAAACAAGTTAAGAAAATACACTTTTTGAGTGACCCCTTATCTGTTTTTAAATGCATCGCTAACCCAATGGATGTGATGGCTACTGATATTAATCTTTTTATTCGAGAATTAAAAGTAAGAATTCATAAATTAAGAAAGGTCAATACGAATTAAAATTCACTTATGGAAAAGCTCATTTAGGACTTCGTGGCAATGAAGTTACAAATTCTTTAGTCGAAGAAAGTTTTACAACTGGACAGCAAATCAAGAATATTTAATGATATCTTAGAATAACTTTAAGGAAATTGGGAATTGTATTAAAAAAACTATGGCTCTAATAACCTCACCCAATACACACTGTTACATCCAAGTATTCCGATATTTTTGACAAGATTATAATTTTACAAGAAATGATATTTGTAAGTTTAGTAAATTTTAATTGTTATTGTTATTTTTTGTGACTTTTTGTAAGCTTTATCCATAAAATTGTGCAATTTTTGGTGACAATAAAGCATATTTATAGTTTATTCTATTCTATCATTCCCTAATCCAAAAAATAATGATGCAGCAGTTCCAAGTACATCCAGCAGCAGCATTTTGGAACATCTAAGTCCGCTTCCGGAATCCTCCAACATAAAAGGACTTGCCGGAAAAAACAAAAATCTCAGATATGAATAGAAACGCCTAACGGAGAAGAACTTGAGATGGAAATCAGGAAAAGGAAAGAAAAGCGTTTTACACTAATTGGAAATTTTGCCTCTTACTATTCTACTGCTCAATTATTTAATGATATACAAATATACAAACTATGAAAATTATTTTTCTTCTTGTGCCTATCCGCTATGAATGTTGGCGAATCTTTATCTTATCTGTAGCAGCCCGGAAAAGCTGCACATATGTTGTATTGAACCAGATTCTGAGGTTCTTTAACCAAGATGTTCTTCTTCTTCCTGGATCTCGCTTTCCGAATAGTTTTTCTTGCAGGACGGCTTGAAGGAGAGCATATGTGGATTCATTTCACATAATATGTCCGAAGAATTGTAACTTTCGAGATTTTATACAAGCAAAGAGAAAAGTACTGAGGAAAACTGGACGAGAATTAAAAACATCTTAAATACTGTTCAAGAAACAAAATTGAGTGAGTTTAAAGCAAGAAAAAAACAAGGGTGGATGACAAAAGAAATACTTATGGAGTCTTAGAGTCTTATGGATCAAACAAGAGAAGTCAGAAATAAAGATAAAAAACGAATACAAGAGAATCCACGCAATAATCAGGCAGAAGATAAGACACGCGAAAACACAATTTCATAGTAAAGAATGTAATGAAATTGAACAATATAAAAAGAAACACGATACATTTCATTTGCACAAGAAATTAAAGAGGTGTCTGGAAATAAACGGAAACAAGTATCCCAAAGTTTAGAAGACAGAAACGAACACAGAATATTAGACATCAATGAACAGTTAACAGAACGGGAAAACTACATTTCTGAATTATTTGAAGATGAGAGAGTAGAACACTATACACCGATTGCTATATCAGGTTCATCTATAACAGAAAGTGAGATTACACGTCAAATACAAACGGCAAAAAATGGAAAAGCACTTGGCCCCGATGAAGTAAGTTCTGAAATACTAAAGTTTTTGGGAGAAAATGGAATAAACTTCCTGATGTAATATTCCTTGTCCATCATTTACTCCTTCTTCTAGCTCAAAGGTGTTATCTCTTTGATCTTTAAATAGTTTTTTTAGATATTCTTTCCTCTCTCTAGATATTTCCTTTCTGCCTTCATCTTAGTCCCCCCTGAGTTCTTTAACTTTCCTATGTCCATTGTGACTATCGTACTTTGACTGCAGAGTCTCAATTTCTTTACATCTTTTCCTTGCTGCTTTTTCATTCGCTTCTCTGATTTTCGTTCTATTAATATATTTATGGTTTTATATTTGTCTGGGTCATTTTTGGATGAAAATTATATTAATATAAATAAAAATTAAAGATTTTCAGGAGATAAAAGTAAATAAATGACTTGGTTACATAAGGTGTAAGGCCAAACCATTTACATTAGCAGGATTATAATGAAGTTATGCAACGGCCTTAAAGCACAGAGGTATAAAAAATATTATCTATTTTAATAGAAACTCAATCCCACAATCAAATCACATGCATCCGACGCATTAGCTATTGATCCAATTTCAGTCCAGGGTAAATTAATTGACGCGTTTTTATATAATACTCAAAACCCCTCAAAAAGCATAACTTTTGCTCTAATTAAACGGCTCGTTTGATTAAAAACTGAACATCTCTACCAATTATTACGAGTAAAATTTTGCAAAACATTTCACAAAAGCCCTTATCGCTAATCCAAAAACAAAACGAAACGCTTTGAAATGCACAAAATTGATGAAAACTATACAATCAAATATAAATAACAAACGGCACGAAGTCGAGAGCATTTTGACAATGTGATTCGCTCAAGGGAGTAGAATGTTGGATTTACAAGGGAGCAATTTTTTGAAGGGGCAATAAAAGGTATTGATGAAGGCATCTCAATAAATGGAGTCAAGCTTAATAACCTACGGTATGCAGATGATACAATAGTGTTTTCGAATACCATAGAAGGGCTGCAAAACTTAATGAATGAAATAACGGAAACAAGTAGAACATATGTACTGGATATAAACACCAGCAGAACCAAGCTAATGATCAGCAGCAAGGAAAAAATAACTGTATATGAACCAAATGAAAATTGAACGTGTCTCACCGTACAACTACTTAGAAACTATAATGAGTGCGTCTTGGGACAATATCCAAGAGATTAAATGTTGCATCGGAAAGGCAAAAAGTGCATTCTTGACTATGAGCTCTGTGTTCAAGAATAATAAATAAAATAAGGGTCCCTAAATGTTACGTATACTCATATCGTCTTACAAAATTGATAAGGGTCTTAAACATCTTCATATTCTCAGACACTCTGTAGAGGGGTTCGAATAATGCTATCGAACATTCCTCTACCCAAGTCCATTATTTACTGGGTATGGACTTGTGTTAAAAGTTTTCTTCTGCTATCTTGTCTTCAAAAAGACAAGATATTTCTTACATGACAAATATTAAGTCGAAATAAAAATACCAGTTTACAGTAGAACAAACTCTCAGGCACAGAGTATGAAAAAATTGCAGGAAGCATAGCCCCCAAGAGCACTTAGCTCTCACACATACACTCACACACATACACACACATGAGTTCATCCCAACCCCTATGGGACATGAGTGTACCACTGCTAGTCAGTGGTACCCCCTTGTCCGAAGATCAGACCGGTCTCGTTCCAAAGGAGCAAGTCATTTTTGGCTCGGTACCTATCTGACCCCCAGGTTTTTCCACCACCCCTCCTCTACGTCTGACATACGCAGAGGAGGCTATGAATTGTTACATCGGGAGATTTGGGACAAGAAACACCCTTCGTTTTCCATGATTTGTGGTTAGGCCACCTGACTCTAGGGGTAGCTTAGTGTAGCTTTTCTCCCTATTTACTTTACTGAATTTATTTATGACTTGACTTCGAGCTCTGAGTCCCTAAAAATGTCCAATCAGGGGGTCAGCAGCAAGCTGACGGCCCCTTGTTGGGAAGTTGTGTGCTCGGTCACACAGTCGTCAATTTGGCAAAACAAGTTTTGGTCTCCTTGCCGACTGAATGACCGATAGGTCTGGCCATTGAGCCCGTGTTTGTCGCACAAGGCCTTGATACTCAGTTTTCGCGAGTTGCCTAAGGCAACTTAGCCCTGAAGGGTCTTTTTGCCTGAGGGGCCTCTGCCTGACGGCTTTAATGATTAGGATCTACGTCCTGCTAATTTGACTTGGCTTTGTTAGCTTTTACAGATTGTTTGTTAGTCGGGTTTTTGGTAAAACAATAATAGAGGGAGGGGGTTTTTTAATAGGTGGAATATGCATTCCCAAGTGTATAATGCTCTCACACATCCCGTGTATATGTTTTTTGGTTTTTTTTTGTTTTGTTTTAACTGGTTAGTAAAATAAGATATACCTGAAATAATAATAACTAAAAAAAAGGACGAGTGGGTTGGAGTTAACCAACAGAAGATTCAGAGGCTCACCCTATCCGAAGTCGGAATCATGGAGGCAGGAGTACCACAGGAAGCCGTGCTGTTGCCTTACCTGTATACTATATATATACTTCAGACACCCCCAGTGATCATCACTTTAAACTCACCCCATTTAAAAACCAAGGGTTCCAAAAAGATTTAATTCACAGATCCATGTAGCTCTTAAAAACCTCTACAAATCGTTTTTGAAGAAATACTCTATCGTTAAAAATTACAGGAAATACGTTAAAAAACCAGTTAATTTTTTTCCGGAAAATTCCATTAGTATAGTACAGTACATTTCGGAGCATAATAATCTACAAAACCGGTATATTAGCTAGTGGGGCGTTATACATTCGAAATTTTAAGCGTTCTTATTTCGCGAAATCCCATACAACAGAATAAAACATCTGCTCATATGTCTATGGCTTGGCAATGAAAATATCAGAGCAACAGATTGGGTATAGTATTCCAAGATGGTTTGTTATGACCCGTACGCATGAACAAACAACCTGCACCCGATGAACTTTTGAAAATTATTTTTTGCCAATGCAAAAAAGGATGCGGCGTTTCATGTGGGTGCAGAAAAGTTGGTTTATACTGTAACTCTACTTGTTCTGGGTACTCAGGTGAAGGGTGCAATAACAG